TATATATATATACACACACACACACACACACACACACGCTCACAGAGTGTATACATGTGTGTGGGGGCGTGTTTGTGTATGTATACATCACACATTTTTATCCACGGATCCATTGATGAACATTTATGTTAATTCCATGTCTTGCCTGTTGTGAAAGTGTTGCAATAAACATGGGTATACAGATACTGCTTCAGTGTACTCATCTTCCTTTTGAATACATACTGAGTAGAGGGATTAGTGAATCACAAGGTAGCTCTATTTTTAATTTTTACTTTTTTCCATAATATTAGGGTGCACTAATTTACATCATTCTCACTAACAGTACAGAAGAATTTCACTTTCTCTAAATCCTTTCTAACATTTGTCACTTATTATATTTTGATTATTATTATTTTAATGCTAGCCATCTTAACAGATATGAGGTGCTATCTCATTGTGGTTTTTGACTTGCATTTTTCTGATTAGTCATGTTGGCTATCTTTTCGTATACCTAATGGTCAATGTCTTCTTTGAAGAAATGTCTATTCAAGTCTTTCTTTTTCTTGCCTGATTGCTCTGGCTAGAACTTCCACAATTGAATAGAAGAGGTGAGAGTAGGCATCCTTTCCTTGTTCCAGATCTTGGAGGAAAAGTTTTGAGTATTCAGCATTGAGTATGATATTAGCTATGGGACTTTCATTTATGGCCTTTATTGTGTTAAGGTGAGTTCCTTCTATAACTAATTATTAGGAGTTGTTATGAAAGGATGTTGAGGTTTTTTTCAATGCTCTTTCTACATCTATTAGGATGCGATTGTTATCCTTCATTCTGTTAATGTATTGTGTCACATTGATTGGTTTGCATATATTGAAGCATCTTTGCACTCCTGTGATAAATCCTATTTAGTCATCATATATGATCCTTTTATGGTGCTATTAAATTCTATTTACTAATTTTTATTCAGAATATTCGCATCCATTTCATCAGGAATAGTTGTTTTTACATGTGATCTTTGACTTTGGCAGCAGGATAATGATCCCTTTATAAAATAATTCAGAAATACTTCCTCTGCTCTTTATTTCCTTTTTTTAAAAAAAAATTGTGCAAGAATGCACTTGTGTTTGCCACAGGGAGAGAGAAAAAGAGAGGACAGAGACTAAAAGAGAGGGAAAGTGAGAAAGCACTCCCTGTGGGAAATGGTCGTGCCACAATCCCTTCTACTCCATTTTCCCCTTTATTTGGTATTTTGGGCAAACATGGTTATGCACCTGGCATGTTTTTCAAGCTGCCAAGTCCATGGGGAATCCAGCCTCCTTCACCATGCCACTGGCTGGCCCCTCTTACTCTTTTCAATGCAGATTTTCTTGGTTTTTGTGCTCAACCACAAGGCATTTTTATCTGTGGATAGTTGCTAAATCAGTGTTTCTTTGGGGAGATCAGGGCCAAGGACGTCACACTCCAACATCTTTCTACCTTCACTCCACAAGAATTTCCCAGAAACCCTTTAAAAGGATTGTCAGACATTTCTGTAACGTTCCAAATAAATAGTTTAGGCTTTGTGAACCACTTTAAATGCCTACTATGTATTCTAAAAAAAACCTTTAAGAGTATAAAAGCTATTTTTAGTTCACTTGCCTTACAGAGAAAGGTCCTGAACCAGATTTGAATTTGCTAACTCCTCCTTAGAATATCAAGAGTTTCCAAACATGCCTTTGTGAATCACCAAACTTTTAGTAGAAATGATGACATCAACTGTTCTGATCATTAATGACAGTTTCTTCAGCTCCCCCATTTGTTCTACAGTTGGATAAACCCATAATTGCTATATTAAACCTTTACTACCTAGAATATAGAGAGGTCTCTGTTTTCTTCACCAAATATAGAACTATACTGTATGACTATGATGTCATACTTATTTTGACTAATATACAAATTTAATGCATCTGAAGATTGTTTCTAGTTCAAAACATTAAAGAATATTGTGTGACATTTTATTGACAACAGGAGTTTGATAATACGGTTTTGTTATTCAGAAGATAGAGGATGTGAGTATTTACCTTTTGTAAATGGTAGCAATAAATATCAAGTTCTTTCTTTTATCTTACAGGAATTCAGAGATAAAGCTGTAATAAAAAACTTGTCTTTAAATATATATGAGGGGCAGATCACTGTTCTTTTAGGACAGAATGGGGCAGGAAAAACCACTACTTTGTCTATTCTCACAGGTATGTATTCAGCTCTATCCAGAGCAAATGCAAAGTTTCTTCTAAGACTGGAAACCAATCAGTACATTTTAGTAGTAAGTATGTTGTCTTTTTTCTTTTCCTCATGCCCCCTCACTCCTACTTCCACTCAGTGAAAATCATACTAAACTACTGTAATTCGCTATCACCACTTCATGTTTGTTTTTGCTGTCCTCTTTACTGGCAGATTTTGTGCACACATACACATGTGCCCCCACATGTTTCTCAATCCACTAGGTCCAGAACTTGAACCACACAGTTCGTCATGGGGGATCCACCTGCCTTAACCTCCATGACACTGGCCCAGCCCTGCCTCCATTTTTGTAAGTAGCAAACCAAGACCCCAGGTTCGCAGAGCCATGAGGACTCCCTGGTACAGGGACCAGGTATGCTCACTCTCTGCCAGCAACATTCAAGTGGGGTTGATGTGGGCCCTGTGCAGTGGAACGGCACCTTTTAGAAGGCACATACACTCAGCAGAGAGAAAAAGTCAGAGAGAGGGAGAAAGCACCCTGCAGTGGGGCATGGTTACACTGTAGTCTCTTCTCCTCCAACGCTCTATCCTTGGGATTTGGGGAGCACACACAATCATGCCCAGTGTGTTTGTCGAGCTGCCAGTCCTGGGATTTGAACTGTGTGGTTGGTCATGTGGGACCTAGCTTCCCTAACCATTAGGCAACAGAGTCAGTCTACCCTGTTGGTATTTTTGTTGGTATTTATTGTGATCTTATTAGTCATTCTTGAACAATTTAAAATATGTAAAATAGGGCTATAAAATTATTCATTGCGTAAATAGCATCTCATTGAGTGAATCTATTTAACTAAAGTTTGGTCATATTTTTCTTGCTTGTCTCCTTTCTCTCTCACATGAATAAGTAGCACTTTGCTATATTTACTTTCTTCTAAACATAATCTTGTTTATTTAAACCTAAGGGAAAAATTGATTGAAATATTTTTTTGTTTTTGTTTTTTTTTTTTTCTTTCTTTAAAGCCTATTTATTTCCTCAAGGGGCAGGGAAAAAGCTAAGTATCCTCAACAAGGTCTCAGGTTGCCCTCCCAACCAGCCAGGAGTACAGGTGGACAGTCTTTCATTTAGATATAGCATCTCTTGAGTAATGCATTATTTCTGTGTCACCAAACTGGCCTTGATTGGAATGCTTTAAAATCTTTCTTACAGTTCTTTGAAAAGTTCAGGGAAGATTTATACTGTGAATAAACTGATTTCAAATGTCCCCCCCCCAATTAACAAAAAACAAAATGGGCTAAAAAATATTGAAAGATAAAGGTCAAAAAATCCCCAAACTTGATGAACTTGCATCTGCACACCCAAGAATTGAGTCCTCTAACTAGATAAACTCATAGATTTTAACACTTTTTTTTTTTTTTTTGGAGAGGTTTTCGCTACAGGGCGCGTGCGCTCGCCAGACAGACAGAGAGAGACATAGAGACAGAAAGTGAGAAATCACCCCCCAGGGGGGATGGTCACGCCGCAATCCCTTCTCCATTCTCCTCTCGGGATCTTGGGCACGCACGCACACGCGCCCGGCGTGAGTTTTAAGCCACCGGGTCCGGTACGCAAACCGCGGTCGACTACGTGGGAGTCCAGCGACATAGCCATTACGCTAATTGCTGATTCCCGATTTTAACACTTTTATACACTATAATCAAATTGTCAGAAAACAAATACAGAATTTTTTTTTTTTTGGAGAGATTTTCACTGTAGGGTGCGTGCACTTGCCAGACAGACAGAGAGAGACATAGACAGAAAGTGAGAAATCACCCCCCAGGGGGGATGGTCACGCCGCAATCTCTTCTCCTCCATTCTCCTCTCGGGATCTTGGGCATGCATGCACACGTGCCCGGCATGAGTTTTAAGCCACCGGGTCCGGGACACGAACCGCGGTTGACTACATGGGAGTCCAGCGACATAGCCATTACGCTAACTGCTGGTTCCCAACAAATACAGAATTTTGAAAGTAGAAAGAGAAAAGCAGGTTGAATTGCATACCTGTATCTTAGTAATTTAGTAGATGGTTTCTTATCATAAACCATGGAGACTATCAGGCAGAGGAGTGACATAGTTAACAAACTGGGGGGGGGGGGGGGGGGATACAAATTAAAAAAAGGGGGGGGGGGGGGGACTTTTTTTAACCAAACGTTTTTTCTGCATCTGGCAAAACTGTCCTTAAAAAATAGTGAAGAAATTAAGACATACCCAGATAAACAAAAGCTGAGGCAGTTCATTATCATAACTTACATTATAGAAAATGCTGAAAAGTCCTTCAGGTAGAAATGAAAGTAGACTAGACAATAACTTGAAGCTCTTATGAATAAAGACCTCTCATAAAAGTATCCACATAGGCACATACAAAGCCAATATGACAGTATTTTTGGTTTGTTACATTTTCATTTGTGATTTGAAAGACAAATGCATAAAAAAAGTTATGCTACACATGTGTAAAAATGTCATTTGTGACATAAACATGAAGGGGGAGAGGATGGAAATGTGGAGGAACAAAGTTTGTTTTAAGCGTTCAAGTAAAGATGGGAGCAATTAAAGTAAATTGCAAGAAATTTACTAGACATTTAAGATATTTACTAATTTACTAGGGGAAAAATTAGCTAAATAAGAATGAAAACAAACAGCAAAATGACAGAACTAATTCCTTCCTTAGCAGTAATTACTCTAAATGTAAGGGGACTAAACAATCTAGTCCAACAATCTAGGATTTTTTTTAATAGATTTTTTTTTTTTAATTACCAAACTGCATGTCTACAGGAGAATCATTTTATATCCAAATATCCAAATAGGTTGCAAAAATTGTTTTTATGGAACCAGCAGTTGGCATAATGGCTATGTCGCTGGATTCCCATGTAGTTGACCACGGTTCGAGTCCCGGACCCAGTGACTTAAACTCACGCCGGGCATGTGTGTGTGCGTGCCCAAGATCCTGAGAGGAGAATGGAGGAGAAGGGATTGCAGCATGGCCATCCCCCTGGGGGGTGATTTCTCGCTTTCTGTCTCTCTTTCTCTCTCTGTCTTTCTGTCGAGTGCATGAGCCCTATAACAAAAACCTCTCAAAAAAAAATAAAAAAAGTTTCTATCTTGTTTTGTTTTGTTTTCCAGCCATTTGTTCTGTGATGAGCCAGAGAGAGGAATCATGGCAACTCGTAACCCAAACTGCCATTTGTGTTCTCACTGGCTCCCAGGTGGCTAGAGTATGCTGCATTTCATATGCACTGTGAAACAGACAATACAGAAGCCAGTCCTTTGGCGCATCCTATGGAAATGTTGGGGTGTTGAATGCATAGTTCAACTCCTTCTCTTCCTCAAAAGAAGCAAGGAAATGGGGTTTTTCAATTGCTTTGCTGAAATGAGGGAAGGGGCTCCCTGACAGCCAGCTATTATTTTCTGCCCCAGGTGGCAGCAGCTTCTGAACCTACCTTTCAACTTTGTCAAAAAATGCCATACTCTTTCCTTATCCACTTCAAGAGAGTTTGAAGTTAAGTGAAGCAAAGGAGAGATTTTTACTCAGGTCTTTAGCAAGCTCTGTCAGGTCAAAACAAATTAATGAAATTTCTTTAGAATTAGATCCTCTGTGTTCTTTTCAGCACCAAAGGACTCTCACTAGAAATGCAGACTTCTGTCTTCAGACCACTACAGCTAGGGTTTCAGTGTCCCCTTCAAAACTCACGTTGAAATTTAATTGCCACTGTGATGGTATTGGGGTGTAGGGCATTTAAGAAGTTACTAGGTCATGGTACTCCTTTCTGCCTATGGACGCCTCCAGGGAATCATTGTTGAAGTCTCTCTTCCCACTGCCATCATGTCTAAGTCAGAGTCTACCAAAGAGCCGGAACAGCTGAGGAAACTATTGGAGGGTTGAGCTTTGAAACAACCGATGAGAGCCTGAGGAGCCATTTTGAGCAATGAGGAACGCCCACGGACTGTGTGATAATGTGAGATCCAAACACCAAGGGCTCCAGGGGCTTTGGGTTTGTCATGTATACCACTGTGGAGGAGGTGGATATAGCCATGAATGCAAAACCACACATGGTAGATGGTAGAGTTGTGGAACCAAAGAGGGCTGTCTCAAAATTCTCAAAGACCAGGTGCCCACTTAACTATGAAAACGATCTTTCTTGGTGCCATTAAAGAAGACACTAAAGAACATCACCTAAGAAATTATTTTGAACAGTATGGGAAAACTGAAGTGATTGAAATCATGACTGACCGAGACAGTGGCAAGAAGAAGGGCTTTGCTTTTGTAACCTTTGATGATCATGACTCTGTGGATAAGATTGTCATTCAGAAATACCACACTGTGAATGGCCACAATTGTGAAGTAAGGAAAGTCCTGTCCAAACAAGAAATAGCTAGTGGTTCCTCCACCCAAGAGGTCAAAGTGGTTTTGGAAACTTCGGTGGTGGGCGAGGTAGTAGTTTTAGTGGTAATGACAACTTTGGTCATGGAGGAAACTTCAGTGGCCGTGGTGGCTTTGGTGGCGGCCGTGGTGGCTTTGGTGTCAGCCGTGGTGGTAGTGAATACAATAGAAGTGGGGATGGCTATAATGGATTTGGTAATGATGGAAGCAGTTTTGGAGGTGGTGGAATCTACAATGATTTTGGCAATTATAACAATCAGTCTTCAAATTTGGGACCCATGAAGGGTGGAAACTTTGAAGGCAGAAGCTCTGGCCCTTATGGCAATAGAGGCCAGTACTTTGCCAAACCATGAAATCAAGGTGGCTATGGCGGTTCCAGCAGCAGCAGTAGCTATGGCAGTGACAGAAGGTTTTGATTAACTGCCAGGAAACAAAGCTTAGCAGGAGAGGAGAGCCAGAGAAGTGACAGGGAAGCTACAGGTTATAACAGATTTGTGAACTCAGCCAAGCACAATGGTGGCAAGGCCCAGTTGCTACAAAGAAGATATGTTTTAGACAATACTCATGCGTATGGGCAAAAAATACAAGGCCTGTATTTGTGACTAATTGTATAACAGGTTATTTTAGTTTCTGTTCTATTGAAAGTGTAAAGCATTCCAACAAAGGGTTTTAAATATTGATTTTTTTTTTGCACCCGTGCTGTTGATTGCTAAATGTAATAGTCTGATTATGAAATTGAATAAGTGTGTCTTTAAAAAAAAAAGAAGTTACTAGGTCATGAGGGTTCCATCCTTATAAATGAACTATGCCATTATCTTGGGAGTGGTTGGTTATCATAGTAGTGGCTTTATATTAAAGAGCTCTCTTAGGCCAACAGGTAGCAAGTTGGTTAAGGTGCTGGACTCCCACATGACCATCTGTGGCTTGAGCCCTGGACCCAGTGGTTCGAAGATCATGCCAAGTGCATGTACATGCATGCATACCCAAAACCCTTAGAGGAGACTGGAGGAGAAAAGATTGAGAGGAGAATGGAGGAAAAGAGATTATGGCATGGCCATCCTCCCTGGGGGTGTGGGACTTTCTCACTTTCTCTCTCTCTCTCTATCTCTCTCTCTCTGGCAAGAACGCTTGCCTTATGGCACGCATTTGTTTGTTTTATAGGTTCGTTTGTTTTATAGGTTTTAGAGTAAAACCTGTAAAACAAACAAACAAAAAGAAGTGAGCTCTCTTGAACTCTCTGTATGTGGTTTCTCACCACATTGATGACACAGCAATAAGTCTCTCACCAAAAGCAGTTCTTCAGTTTTGGACTTCCAGCCTCCAGAATTTTGAGAGAAATCATTTCTTTCTTTATAAATTACTCACTTCCTGATATTGTTACACTAACAGAAACAAAGACAACTAACTACCAAGCTAGGAAGGGATGTGGAACAAAGGATAAACCAAAATGCTACTGAGCATGTTCATCATATTTCAGACACCCTTTTCTTAATTTAGGTATTTACTTGATTGCTTTGACTATTTTTCTGAGTTCTGACACAGTTTTTTTTTTTTTTTTCCTCCTTTGGCATTTCTTCTGTGCAATCATAGGTATTTGGATTTCCTTGATCTGTCCTTTGTACTATCATTAAAACATTTTTAAATGTGAGAATTTGTGTAATGATACAGAAAAGGAAAAATATATAAGGAAAACAAAGCGCTAACCACATTTTTTAAATTCTCTCCTAATTATTATTAATAAAAATAAATATTTTGTTAGTATGTTAATACAAAAAAGCATAAATTCATGTTCACTTTTTTAGAATGTGACTTTATATAAAATACTTCTTATGTTGGTATAGTCCAATGACTGTGGCATTTTTAATAGTTACACAGTATTCCTTTTAATGTCCATTTATTAATAGTTCTTCATATTAATATGCTACAGTTAACTTAGTCATTTTCTCTTTGTTGAACATTTTCCTTCTATCCAATTAAACAGCCTTGTTATGTGCATCTTTGAATAGTTTTCTACTTTGGAGTGCATTTCTGAATTCACTTTTCAAAAATATATTTTACAATAAGTATTTTTAAGTAGGATAAATAAGTCATTAGGCTTAATTAGTTTTATAGTTGCTTTTTTATGTATTATCAATTATTTTGCCCATGAAATCTGGACTGGTTGCCACCAGCAATACATAAATGTTATGCATTATTAATGAGGACAGAAATGTATCTACACAATACCTACTAGGGTTCACAAATATGGTAACTCTCTGATTGCAGTGCTGATCTGTTGGAATCTAGCACATGATTTCAATGTTTTTATTACCAATAAACCTTATACCCATTGTAGAAAGTTAGTCTGTATAAGAGAAAGTTAGTATATATAAGAAAAAAGAAAGGAAGAAAACCAAAAGATAACTAATTTTTTGGTTCCTAACACTATCATAACTGTTTCTAACACTATCATAACTATTCTGTTGTTCCTAACACTAACAGAATAACTATTCTTATGCAGATGATAGTGTTAATTCTTGTGCATAGTACACGAGTAGACTGAATTTGAGGCACTAACTACCAGTGCATCACTGTGTTATCTTATAAGAACTGACCTTCTGTCATGTCTTCTGCTTATTCTAGGTCGTTATCCTCCTACCAGTGGGGAGGCCCATATTAATGGGTATGCTATTTCAACAAACATTAATAAGATTCAAAAACACTTAGGCTTCTGCCCCCAGCACGACTTATTTTTTGATGACTTGACACTGTCAGAACACGTTTTTTTCTACTCTGTGGTGAGTCAGAGATGTATTTTATAAAATTAGATAGTAAATTAGAGTTGTGAAATGTTGCCTCCTTTTCTACATTCTGAACGAAATTGTGCATAAGCATTCTTCTTTAACTGTTAGGTAAAATTCACTAGTAAATTCATCTGAACCTGGAGATTAGTTTTTTAAATATGTTAACTACAAATTCAGGTTATTCAATAGCTATAGGAATATTCAGGTTATTTATCTTATATTGGGTGAGCTCTGGTATTTTGTCATTTTTCAGAAATTTCTGCCTTTTATCTAAGCTGGTGAATGAAGAGTCTTCAAAAAAAAGATCATGGAAAATGCATATTATGAAAAAAACTATGCATAGGGAACCAGCAGTTAGCGTAATTGCGATGTCGCTGGACTCCCACGTAGTCGACCGAGGTTCGTGTCCCGGACCCGGTGGCTTAAAACTCACACTGGGCACATGTGCGTGCGTGCCCAAGATCCCAAGAGGAGAATAGAGGAGAAGGGATTGCGGCGTGACCATCCCCCCTGGGGGGTGATTTCTTGCTTTCTGTCTCTCTGTCTCTGTCTGTCTGGTGAGCGCACGCGCCCTATAGCAAAAACCTCTCCAAAAGAAAAAAAAAACTATGCATAGAATTCAAAATTTTAGCACCCAAATAAAGTCATACTTTAATATCATTTCTCTGGAGAAGAGGATTCCTCATGGCTCCTGCAAACTAGTCATTTCAGGGGACAGGAAAAATGAAGATTTTCTACTGATAATTCAGCCTCCAGCAAACAAAGCTAGCGTGATTGAACTTCAAGAATTCGAAAGAAAAACACCATCCATCAGATGACAAGAAATCACCGCAGGACCACAAGAAATAGGGGAAAGCAAGAAAATACCTCTCCTCCAAGGGAAAACAATAACTCTTCATCCACAAGCAGTTCAATGCAAATCATGGAAATGTCTGATAAAGAATTTAGAACATTCATAATGGCGAAGCTAACTGAGATGGAAGAGAAGAGAGACAATGAACTGCTAAAGAGAAAGGAGAAAGAAGTTGACGAGTTCCAGGAGGTGAGGAA